AAAAATGAGCACTAGAGGGCCAGGGATTTAGCTCAGTGGTTTCGCCGCCTGCTGCGCAATGACCTGAGTTCGATCCCTGGTACCAAAAAAAAAAAAGAACACTGAGCACACCTGTAATCAGGAGGCTGAGGCAGGAGCACCACCTCGCGTTCAAGCCCAGCCTGGACTACACAGTGAGACCCTGTCTCAAAAAAACAGTGATTTTTTTAAGAAGAGTCATAGGAAGTTGTGCACTTACATTTTTAAGATGTTGGACTGGAAATATTCAGAATGTCACATTAACTGGACCCCCTGCTCACCACCTGCAATAATCAAGTTAGAAAGTGTTACCAGGTCACATAAAAGACTTTTCCACAGAAACAGAGTCCTCTGGAGAAAGGAGCCCCGCGGTAGCCTGCGCCTTCAACATGGGAAGGAGCCCATACCTCCGGTGGAGGGGGCTTGATGGAGACGGGCTGTGGCGTCCTCCGGGGTGGGGAGGGCTTCGGCTGCACCTGCTGCTGGGCGGGGTTATAGTAGGTCACTCCACCGTACACCTGTGACGGGGCCTGGGACCCCACGAGCCAGAAGAGAAAGTTAGGAATCCATCCAACCTATGAACAACAGCAAACACTATCCAGCTGTGAAAAGGAGAGTCTGGAGCCAGGCATGGTGGTGCACGACTGCTAACCCCAGGACTCAGGAGGCTGAGGCGGAAAGGAGGATTACGACTTCAAGGTCAGCCTGGACTCTATAATCATGTCACCCCTCAACAACAAGTTTGAGGGCTGGGGATGGAGCTCAGTGGTTCTGGCGCATGCCTCGCAAGCGAAAGGACCTGAGTTCAATCCCCGGTACCCCAAAAAAAAACAGTTTGAAGAATTTCTTTTAAAGCTGTCGCCTCCAAGTAAGGTGAGTGTTCATTTCTGCCTCAGCATGTCACTGTTATGCTCAGGTTTTGAATCTTCAAAGTACTGCCCAGCTTCCTTCGATTCCTACCATCAGCTCTCACACGGAAAAGGCTAAGCATATGGTGACACTCAGATACAGACGGTGTCAACCCTCTGACCACGAAGCAGGACGGGGCAGGGGAAGCTACAGAGGAGCAGCACACAGCTCCTCACACAGACATCAGAGATACAACCATCCAGGCTGCACCCACTCTACTCAACACCATAAGGGCAGCCAAGGAGCCGACGTGAGGGGTGTTGAGTGAGCTGCATTTCTAGCTCCTGGCCACCAAGAGGCATCTGGGTATCACGTGCAGCCCAGTGGCACTGAAATTTCCTTAGCATCACCCCACCCCAGACTCCTGCCTGATTTAAAGGCTGTGTACCTGGAGGACCCTGCTCGAAAGCCATCTTACCTGTGTGTTAGGATACAGATGTGGCGGTGGAGGGGGAGGCAGGCCTCCTGGAGCATATGGGTAGCTGGGGTTCCCAAAGTTCATCACACCTGGAGCAGAGAAGTAGGTAGGAGCAAGCAGCTGCTGGGGAGGAGGCTGTCCTGGAGACATGGTCACCGGTGGGGGGTACAGGCCTGGGTTGGGCAGAGGTGCTGGTGTCTGGTGGGGATGTAAACCTGGACGAAAAGAAAGACAAAAACTGAAAAAGAAGATGCCACCATTTTCATAGACAGCCCTGGCTGGGGTGCTCCAAAGGGAGCTTTAAGGAGGCAGAGCGGCCCCTTCACGTACCAGAAGCAGAGGCAGGAGCACCACGCTTACCTGGGTGGGGAAGGTGCATTTCCGGCTGCACAATCATGCCCTGTGGAGCCAGCGGGGCAGGGCTGTCGCCATGGGTATAGATTGCTCCCTGGAACTGCACTGTAAGATATCGCAGTGGGGCTCATATAAACCCTTCCTCTTCACAGCTCGTGTGCTGTCTTGTCCCACAAACCCTTTAAAAGATTTTCTCTGCCAGCTGTTCAGCAGGCTGAGGCAGGAGGATTGTCAAGTTGAGGCCAGCCTGGGCGCCTCAGTGGGACGCTGTCTCCATATGAAATTTAAAAAATGGGGATGTAGGACCAGGGATTTAGCTCAGTGGCACTGTGCCTGCCTCACAAGTGCAAGGTCCTGAGTGCGATCCCCAGTACCGAAAAAAAAAACAACAAAAAAAGGGGATGTAGCTCAGTGGCAGAGCACCCTTGGGTTCCTGGGTTTACCTCTAGTCCTGCCAGCGGGAACTAAACAATGTCTGATAACCACCATGAGAGGTCAGAAGGGGAATGAAAGGCAAGAGAGGCTGGCCTCTTTCATGGCCTTCAACCTACCAAGAACAGCACCAACGAGAAGACACTACTCACACGGGTCATAGTAATGGCCCTCCATGATACTGATGTGCACAGGAGGGGCAGGGGGCTCGGGCACTGGTCTCTGCCGCTGGGATGAATAGCGCTTGGCACGACCACCCTGGACACCCTGTGACACAAAGACAGACCTGAGTAAGACACAAAGACAGACCTCAGGGCTCTCAGAGCAAGACCAGGCTCTTCGGATGCTGCAGGACATGGCAAGTGTTTTCAGAAATATTTGAAAAGTAAATTGAAATATCAATGAAAATCGCCAATACTTTGGGGGTTTTTTTGTTGTTTTTTGAGGCAGGGACTCACTATGTAGCTCAGGGTGGCCTCAAAACGAGTGCTGGGATCACAGGCCTGTGCCACCACGCCCAGCTAAGCATCAATACTTGAACCTAAACCTCTACCCGACATCTCGGATACCTGAATTAAGAGACACAGTATGGGCCTGGGGATTTAGCTCAGTGGTTCCGGCGCCTGGCTTGAAGGCACAAAGTCCCAAGTTATATCCCCGGTACAAAAAAAAAGAGAGACACAGTAATCAACAGGAAGACTGGCATCAGGACCTCGCCTGGGTTTAAACAGGACACTATAACAGGGCAGCCCTTCCCTTCGTACCATTTCTTCCATGCGGTTAAACTGAGGCGGAGGTCCCGCTCCCATGTGGATGTGGCTGGGCACACCTGTAATGCAAAGAAAGTCACCGCTGCAGACATACGCTGGGAAGGGGGACTCAGGTGTATCCAGAAGACAAGTGAAGCTAGGGGAATGGCTCTTTTCTTTTACAGAAGGAAACTGCCTCTCAAACTGCCTGACCCTGGCACTGGAAAACTGGCTCCCACTACCCACCACCTAAGAAAGCAAGAAAGCCCTTCAACATGAAAAAATGCCTGAAGAGGGACCTTTTCCTACCTGACATGTCCCTGCACAGAAATGACCCCTAGGAAGTTCGAATCAGCACATTTCATTACCTAATGTATTGTAAAATCTCACCCCCAAAGTTGCTGAGCAACAAGTGGACAAAGGCAGGAGGTTCTATAAATCTACTCCATTGTATCCTGACCACAGAGGTCTGGGCTAGAAGTCTGGAAGACCCTTCTGGCTGAAAATTTCTCAGGAAAGAAAGGAATGTTTTACAAACTGCCTTCCAATGATGGTCAGACATCAGTAGGAAGCCGGACATGATAAGCGAGCACATGTGTAATCACAGCACTCTGGGAGGTTGAGGCAAGATTGCAAGTTTGAGCCCAGCCTGGGGAACTTAGTGAGCCCCTGTCTCAAAATAAAATACAGGCTGGGGATTTAGCTCAGTGGTTCCACTGGCTGCCTCACAAGCAGAAGGACCTGAGTTCGATCCCTGGTACCAAAAAAATAAATAAATAAAAGGGCCAGGGATGTAGCTCAGTGGCACAGACCCTGCATGGCAACCACAAGGTCCTGAGTTTGATCTCCGTAACCCCCCCCAATACACACACACACACACACACACACACACACACACACACGTAAAAGGTCCTGGGTTCAATCTCCAATACTATAAAGAAAAAAAAAAGTCATCTATACAGGAAAAGGGTGCTGAAACTCCCAGTCCCAACAAGGAGGATTTCTAATCTTAAAATTAGAGATAAATTTCAAAAACCAGGGAAAAGAACCCCTTGGTGTATCTGGTTGGACCAAGACAAAGCAGAATGGGTAAAAGTGTCAACAGGCAGATCTTACTCTGTAGAACTGTGTGTCCAACATGATACCCACGAGCCACACCCACATGGCTATTTAATTGAAAGTCCAATTCCTCCCTCTAGCCACATTTCAAGTACTGTTTTCAAAAGCACTGGCATTACATTAAGTTCTACTAGGCAGTATATCTTTAGAAGAATAAAGAAATTAAGAGGCTTCCTTCAGAGATAAAAGAACCTGATCTAAATAAAGTTTAAGTTTCTGCCTTCACACGTTTTTTTTTCCATCCACATTTTCATCTGTTACAGGAGAACACTGCTGCTTCCTCTTTTGTAGGAGAGTAGAAAAGGGTTCTGTGCTCAGCTCAGTCAGGATCAGGTAACAACATGTAAGGTAGCGAGCAGGGCAGCCCTAGGCCACAGTGAAATCAGGGTTGGGGACTGGACAGTGGAACCATGAGCCCACCCTCCCTTTTCTCGGTTAACACACACACCAAACTCATGAGACACCTTCTTCCGAGGCCCTAAACCCAGGGATGCCTACCCCGAAGCTCCCGTGGCTGCAGGAAGGAAGGCTGTCCTGGACTCCAGTTCTGATCCTCAAGACTCAGCTGTGCTACGTCCTGCTCGAGTCCGCCTGTGGTCGAATCCACAGGAGACTCCCAGCTCCCGGCCTTCGCTGATGGAGTAGTGGCAGCTTCTGGGCCAGGAGGAGCTGAGGTCAGGCCTTCGGGTGGAGGGGGCATCTCCTCCACAGCCTTGCCTGCATCTCCAGCCTTGGTTCGGGTTCTTCTGGCCCGGGAGTAGGACTTCTTCTCAATGGGCCGGTCAGGGGCTGGTGGTGCGGTGTCAGGGGCAGCAGGTGGTGTCTCGGAAGCTGCCTCTTCCTTCTCAGGACTGCCAGGCACTGGAGCATCTGCTTCTGGCGATGGTTCCCTCACAGGCACCTGGTCCAGGCGCCGTGAGCGGTAGCCAGCCTCATGCCGAACAGTCTCACCAGCCCGGCCATGTGGCCCTCCAGCCTCCACAGGCCGAAACCCAGCTCGACCTTCCTTGAAGCCTCCGGATCGGGGGTAATTCCTGGGTGTAGACATGCGGCCAGTGCCTGCCGCATTCCTGTTAATAAATGTTCTCGGTGGTAGGGTGCCCCCAGGACCCTGATGACGATGGGGCTTGATTGTTCGCTCACCAACCCAGTTTGGATCTCTTTGTGGAGGACTCCCATATCTAAAAGAGTGTAATAGAGAAAACTGTTAGGAATAAAACCGGCAGGGCATGGTGGCACACACCTATAATCCCAGCACTCGGGAGGCTGTGGCAGGAAGATCCTATGAGTTCAAGGTCATCCTGGATTACACAGTGAGATACGGCCTAAAAAAAGCCAACGGGACCACTAAAGATATAAATGGAGTTGGGGAGATATCGCATACTCTTTACTCATTCATTCACTGGCTAGAAAGGCAAAGGAGTTCTTTCTAAAAATATCAGTAATCTCCGAAGTTTCCTCACCGGGGTTTCCGGATTCTTCGGGGCTTGATGTCATCGGGATTGTGAGCTGAGCGTATGTCATAACCATACAGGGCGATGAGCTCCTGCCGGGACTTGGGGGCCTGCTCGTCTTCCCGGAACTTGTCGTGCTCCCAGCGACCCTCATCTTTCCACAGCTTGCGCTGACGCCCCTTGGGTCTGGGGAGAAACCAGGTAAATGCCCTGAGCCATGCCGTCCTCTCTTTGCTAAGGCAGCCCAGGCAGCGCCTCCGTGTCTCAGAGGAACTAGGGGAAGCACTTAGCTTAGCAGACCCCCAACACAGCAAGCACTTGACCTTTGCTACATGCAGCGGGGCACTGTTACCTGATTTCCTCCTCCTGTGTCTGCCCTCGGAGGTCGTGTTCAAAGAAGAGCCCCTTCCGGGGTATGTATGCTGGGTTCTTCCGGTCCTCATCATCATCCAGGTGCTTAGGGCCCTTCTTCCCCACTTTGTTCTCCACAGGCTCCGTGCTCTCCTGAGGACACATGAGGGGCTCCTTACTTTCCAGCCTCCAGCCTGGCGCTCTGTCCAGCCCTGGGGAGGACTGTGCCCGGCCTGACCTGTCCGTCCCCGCTCTGCCGCTCTCCAGTCACGGCGCCTTTGCCGTCAGCCTTGTCCTCTCCCTTCTCTTCTTTAGCTGAAGAGTTGGCAGTGTCATTAGTGTCTGATTTCAACTCCACTTTGGAGTTTTCCTCTTCACTGTACTCTCCTTCTTCACCCTGGAAAAGTCCCCATCAGCCATGGAAATAGGATCTGGAGGGGATGGGAATCTCTCTCTCTCTCTCACTCTCACACACACACATACACAAACTCCCAGACATTGCTGAAAAAAGGCAAGGAAATGTGAACAGCAGCAGCCTGTGAAGGGGTCGGGGGTACAGATGGGGACGTCATAGTGTGGGACACAGAGGCCGCCTCATTTTTCATGACAGTGGTATCCCCTGTTGGTAAGCTGTCTCTTAAATATGCAGGGGCTAAAAACTTTAGCCCGATTTAAACCATGAATCTTCCCATCTCAAAATGGGTTAAATCCTCGATCTTTAAATTATAAATGTCCTTGTCTAATCTAGGATCAAGAACTTTCAGGGTAGCACCAGGACTGAGAAAACATAATGAAGAACAACTGCTACCCACCCAGTGCCTCAGAGGAGAGTCACCTTTTATTAATTTGTACATATATTCAAAATGGCAACATGAAGGTAGGAGACAGTCTGGAGATGAGCACGGAGTTAGTGGACTCACAGACTCCTTGTAATCAACTGCTCAAGGCACTGCTGTCCCTGAGGTGGAAACACTGACTTACACTTTTCTTCCAAATTGTTTTTTTTTTAACAAGGACTCACTATGTAGCCCAGGCTGGGCTCGAACTCCCAGTGATCCTCCAGCCTCAGCTTCCTGGGTGTGGGTCACAGGCTTCACCTGTCCTAATTAGGTAAGCAGTGCCCAGGATCACTGTCTGCCCCTCCTTCAGACATATCTAGGTCTGCTCTCCTCACTCTTCTCTGCTTAGCACATGGGTGTCGAGGCAGGATTCCCGAAAGGTGACAGAGAACGAGGAGACTGTCTGATGACACCTCACTTTACCTATAGATTTTTAATGACCAAACACCCTTGGAGTCTTCCCATCTCCCTCAGCACACGCAGCTTTCCTGCTCTACAGGGTGGGTGGGTGGTAGGCTTATGGGTCACTGGTCTAGGGAGAAAAATATTAGTATGCTTGCCAGCATGATTAATGAGGGACTTTGTTTGGGGCCCCACCCACTCTGGTCTGCGGTCGATGCCAAACGAGGCAACTCTTTTCTTCTAGATGAGAAACTAATTTTGTTTCCAGGGCAGAACAGAGAGATAGCATTGCGCTGAGGAGACTCCAAATTAGAGACCAGGCCTGGTCTAACTACAGCCAAGGTACTACCAGAGCCACGCTGCTGTGCCCAGAGGACGTCATCAAAACCCTTTTGCTGTTTTGTTTCCAAGACAGGGTCTCGCTACGCAGCCCAAGCTGGACTCAAATTTGCAATCCTCCTGCCTTAGCCTTCCAGAGTGCTAGGATTATGAGGTATGCTGCCACATCAACTCTTACTAGCTCTACCCTGAAGTGATGCAAACCTTAAGATTTCCCATGCAGAGGATTCAGCTTTCCATATATTTCAGAGTAAAAATGGGTTGAGCTCCCCACACACACACTCTCCATGTCTCTGTCAACTCGAACTCCTTGGCCCCATTTTATTTATATATATAAATACACACACATTATACATAGTTTACATGGCTCAAGTTATCTTCCTGCCGCAGCCTCCTGAGTAGCTGGGACTATAGGTGTGTGCCATTATGCCAGCTTTTCAGCCTCATTTTATACACCTGCTTCTATGAGGCAGGCTCCTCCCACCCTGGCAAGGACCTGAACACTTTCACAGGTCACTCTTCACCTCTCCTCTAGTAACCCATCCATTCCAAAGAAAACCTGTGCTGGGCTGGGGATTTAGCTCAGTAGTTCCGCTGGCTGCCCCAAAAGGATAAGGACCCGAGTTCAATCCCCAGTACCAACAACAACAACAAAAAATGATCAAAGACCTAAATATAGGGGCTAAAACTATAAAATACTTAGAAGAAAACACAAGAATAAATATTTATCGCTTTGAGATTGGCAAAATTTGGTTTTTTTTTAAATGTACTGGGGACTGAACCCAGGGAGCACTGAGCTACACCCCCTACCTTTTAAAAAGTTTTATTTTGAGACAAGGTCTTAGCTAGCCTCAAACTTTAAATTATCCTGCCTCAGCCTCCTGAGGAGCTACATGTACCACCATGCCCAGTGGCAAAACAATCTTAAGATATAGCACCAAAAACATGAGGAACTGGGCTGGGGATTTAGCTCAGTGGTGCTGCTGCCTACCTTGCAAACCCAAGGTCCTGAGTTCCATTGCTGGTACAAAAAAAAAAAAAAAAAAGAGGAACAAAAAACCCCACCCCAGACAAATTAGACATGATCAAAATTAGTCTTTGTGCTTCAAAGAACAGCATGAACAGTCATCCACAGAAGGGGAAAAAATACGTAAATCAAGCTTCATAAGGAAATTATATAGAAAATAAAGAACTCTTACAGTGCCATCATAAAAAAACTAATTAAAAAAATGTGCAAAAAAAAAAGAGTGCAAAATATCTTACAAGTCATTTGTCCCAGGAAGACATACAAACCAAAAGATGTAGTTTCATATCTACTAGGATACCTAGTGAACAAATAAATCAGGCAAAAGTGTTGTTGGGGAAGTGAAGAAATTAGAACCCTTAAGCTTGCTGTTGGGAATGACATAAAACATGGCAGAGCCACTTTGGCAGAGGCTGGCAGTTCCTCAAATGATTAAACAGCTGTCATCTGACTCAGCAATTTCATTCCGAGGCACATCCCCCAGGGAAGTGACAACCTATATCCACATGAAAGCCTGGACACTAATGTTCATAGCTGTACTGTTCACAAACACCAAAAGATGGAAACAATCTAAGCGCCCACTGGTGGGTAAAACAACGTGGTCCATGCATACAACAGGATAGCAAATAGCCCCCAAAATAGAAATCTTGCCACCTGTGACAACAGGGACTCTACGCTAAGTGAAATAAGCCAGACACAGAATACTGTATGATCTCGCTTAGTGGAATCTGAAGACTTCAAATTCACAGAAAGGTGGTTGGTATGGACCATGAAGTAGGCATGATGGGGATTATCTGGGTCAAGCAGTATCAAATTTCAGCTGGGAGTCTGGAAAACCTAATGAACATAGTAACTATTGTTTTATACATGTAGCGTGGCTTGGAGGTGCACACCTCTAATCCTAGCTCTCAGGAAGGCTGATACAGGACGACCCTAAGTTTGAACCCAGCCTGGGCAACTTACTGCCTTACCAAGATCCTGTCTCAAAATAAAAAATACAAAGGGGCTAGGGATTTAGGTCAGTGGCACCGCGCCTGCCCAGCAAGTGCAAGGTCCTGAGTTTGATCCCTGGTACAAAAAAAAATTAAAAATTAAAAAAATTAAAAATACAAGGGGCTGGGGATTTAGCTCAGTGGTTCTGGCACCTGCCTTGCAAACACAAGGTCCCGAGTTTGATCCCAGGTACCAAAAATAAAAAATAAAAACAATACAAAATACAAAAATAGGGCTGGGGATATAGCTCAGTGTGAAGGCCCTTGGCTCAATCTCCAGTACCACAATAAAATTAAAATTAAAATTAAATAAAAGGCCTAGGGATGTAGCTTAAGAGTAAAAGCCCTGGGTTCAATCCCCAGTATGGAGGAGAAAAAAAAAGGAACACCAAACTGATACATGCTGACACTTAACTGAACATAGGGTAAACGACAGAAGCCAGCCACAAATATGCAAATGTTTTATGATTCCATTCATATTAAAAGCCAGAACAGAAAAATCTACAGAGACAAAAAGTACACACATGGTTGCTCAGGGCTAGGGGAAGGGAATGAGGGAACAGAATAGCTGGCAGCAAAAGGGCATAGGAAGTTATTTCAAAAGTGATAAAAATGTTCTGAAATTCGCTATGGTAATGATTGCACTTATCTGTGCATTCACCAAAAGTCATTAAATTGTGCATGTTAAGATGGACATGGTGGTGCACACCTGTAAGCTCAGCACTTGGGAGGCTGAGGCAGGAGGATCACCTCGCGTTTGAGGCAAGCCTGGGCTACATAGTGAGTTCAAGGCCAGCCTAAGCTACACTGCAAGACCTTGTTTCAAAAGCCAAAAAGAAGGGCTGGGGATTTAGCTCAGTGGCACTGCATCTGCCTGGCAAGCATAAGGTCCTGAGTTTAATTCCCAGTACCAAGAAAGAAAAAAACAAAACAAAACAAAAAACCCCCACAAAAGCCAAAAAGAGCCAGATGTGGTGGTGTATCCCTATAATCCCAGCACTCAGGAGGATGAGGCAGGAAGATCACTGCAAGTTCAAGGCCAGCCTGGGCTACATAGCGAGTTCAAGACCAGCCTGAATTATACAGCGAGACCCTGTCTCAACACACACACACACTCCAAAACAAAACAAAAAGATGTATCCCCTAAACTCCAAGATGTAAGTGCATATGAACAAAGTACCAACAGCCCAATTTCACAGTATTAGCACCAGTGCAGGTGAAAGCAGAGAAGCAAATAAATTTGGCAAGAACCAGAAAGCCTGAAAGAGTCAACAGGCAGCCAATGGAGAGTACAGCAGGCCAGACAAGGGCAGGGAAGAGGAGGCTTCCCTTGCTGAGTGTGAAAGAACCTGCGGGAAGAATGGCTAAAGCAACCTGGGCGTGGTGACGCACACCCTGGGAGGCTAAGGCAGGATCACCTGGAGTTCAAGGCCAGCCTGGGTTACACAGGGAGTTCCAGGACAGAGTGAACTACATAGCAAGAGCCTGTTTCAACAACAAAAACAAAATCAAACAAACAAAAAGACTCCCTGAAGGGGCCAAACCAACCCAGCTGCTGGTTGCTTTCTAGGAGACAGAAGGGCAGCACAGGGAAGGTCAGAGTAAAGGCAAGAAGGGACTGAACCAAGAGCCTTCTCGCTGAGCTACATCCCAGCCTTTTTTTTCTCCTTTTAATTTAGACAGGGTCTTGGTAAGGGGCTGGGCTGGAACTTGTGATCCTCTTGCCTTAGCATCCCAGAATGCCAGGATTGCAGGCGTGTGCTACTGCGCCTGGCAAGCCACCATACTTTTTAACACCATAGGCAAACAACAGAAGAGGGAGCTCTGTGAAGTTAGAAAAAGCTACTGCACACCGTGCTTCCTAGAAGGTTCAGTAAAACGAAATTCACACAAAAAATAGAAAATACATAAGTTAAATCCCAAAGGAGAAAATAAGAATAACATTCAATAAATGCATGCCAAACAGACATGTGTATATCATACCAAAAATGTAACTTCCATTTCAAAATAAGCTAAAAAGATTTCAAGTATAATTTATAGCCGGGCATATGCCTGTAATTTCAGTACTCAGGGAGGCTAAGGCAGGAGGAGGATTCCACGTTTGAGCCCAGCCCCGCAACTTAAGTGACTCAGCAAGACCCAGTCTCAAAATTGTTTAAAAAGTAGGGGAAGTAGGGCCAGGGATTTAGTTCAGTGGCACCGTGCCTGCCTCTCAAGCGCAAGGTCCTGAGTTTGACCTCTGCTACCGAAAAAGGGAAAGGGGGGTGGTAGGGAGGTAGTTCAGTGGAAAGGCCCTGGGTTCAATCCTTAGGAGTGATAGAGAAACAGAGAAAGAGTAATACAGAATTATAAGGCATGAAAGACTATAAACCAGAATTTGAAAAATCCAAAAACAAAGACTGAGAGCCAGGCAAGGTGGTGCACACCCATAATCCCAGCTCTGGGAAGCTTGAGGCAGGATTGCTGGTCTTCAAGGACAGCCTGGGCTACACAGTGAGACTGTCTCTGAACTAGAACCATCAAACTCAGGAAGATATGAGAAATTAAAAATCTAAAATTAGATATTGCCACTTGGAAGTCCCACTGGTTCCTTAATTTCACGATAGCCCAAACTTGGCTAGGGGTGTTGCTCATGGGTACAGCACTTGCCTAGCATGTGCAAGACTCCTGCATCCATCACTAGGACTGCAATAAAAAGGAAAGAAGCCACCTCAAACCTACCTCAGCGCTGCCCTTCCTGAAATCTCATCCTACTGTTCTTGTCTTAGTAATCACCAGTGCCATCCATCAACCTGGACATTCTTTTGATTCCTTTTTAATTCAGGCTCCAATTCAATGAAACCTCTCTCAGCTCCGTTTCGTGCGGCTGGGCTCACAGGTACACACGTTCTTTAGAGCAGCACCATTGTGTCCTTTGGGGCATTCCAACAAACTGAGAGCATGCTCTTGCCTCCCCCATAATTAATCCTCCACATGAGACCTCCTGGCCTATTTTCTTCCTCGACGCCAGGACAACACCCCAACTCCTTTCCTTACAGAGCACTGAGGCACTGTTGCTCCCAATCACCAAACCTTGCCAAACCTTCCACTCTGCCTGAGCGAGAATGTTGCCCATCTGAAACCTCTCAGAACCTTCAATTCTGTCCGCTTCTCTTTTCCCAGGCACTGTTCTATCCCATCCCTCACTCACTGCTCACTTCCATTTCCACACTGCTTCCTTAATAAGCTTTTGCTTTCTAATCTTGCTGCTCTGGGATCAATTCTCCCCACTGCACAAGAAACACACTGTTATAAAGTAACTACTCTGGGGATTTACCTCAGTGGTTCCATCAACTGCCTCTGCCTCGCAAGTGAAAGGTCTCAAGTTCAATCCCTGGAACAACAACAAAAAAAACAAAACAAAAAAACCCCAAAACTACCGCTCATATTTCACTATGCATAAACATCAACTTGAGATTTTGTTAACCTATAAACATCTGAGGCTAGTATCCCTCTTCCAAGATCCTGTTTCAGTAGGGAGAACACTGCTTTAAAATTTAAGTCTGATCACATCACATTTTTGTTTAAAATGTTTTTCTTGTTTATCACTTTCTTAAGAGTAAAATCCAAATACTTTTAACCTGTCTTACAAGATACTTTACAATATGAACTAAAGACAGGCATGGTGAGACTAGCTTGGAATCCCAGCACCCTGGAAGGGTGAGGCAGGAGGATTGTAAATTCAAGCCCAGCCTGGGTAACTTAATGTCTCAAAAAAACCCAAAAACAAATGGGCCAGAGATTTCAATAGGCTGGGGATTTAGCTCAGTGGCACAGCATCTGCCTGGGAAGCATGAGGTCCTCAGTTTGATCCCTGGCACCAACAAGAACAAAACAAACAAAAACAAACTAAAAAAGGGGGCCAGGGATTTAGCTCAGTGGTTTCACCACCTGCTGTGCAAGCACAAGGACCCGAGTTCGATCCCCCGTACCAAAACACACAAAAACCCCCCAAAAAACCAACCAAACAAACAAACTAAAAAAGGGCCGAGACTCCTCTGATCCCACCTCACTTTCTTGCCTTCCTATGTTCTAGTCACATTAACATTTCATGTCCTCCAACTCACCACTCGAAGACCTCCCTCCTTCCCAATGTTCCTTCCCTCCACTTAGAAACTTTGCCTGGCTAACTCCTGCTCATCCTTCAGGACACATCCCATTTTCTACGTGTTTCCAAGTAGCCTAGATCGACTTAGATGCTCCTGCCTTTTGCTCCCAATGTGTCCTATGCTTCCAACATCATGGATCTTATCAAATACTATTTTCTTCCCCTCCCTGATCTGGAATGTAACTCCACAGGGAAGAGGTATGTTTTCACCCAGTGCCCAGTGTAGTCTTGCTACAAAGCAGGTACCTAGGAAAAGAACAAGTCCCTTGGTCATCTGGTCCCTGCTCATCAACTTGCCTTTCTCTCTGGTACCCAATCTGTCCCAACAATGCTCCCACCACACCAAACTACTTTCAAGTTCCCAAATACTGAATCTTCTCTCCTGCCTCTGTGGTTTTTTTTTTTTTTTTTTTGGTTCTGGGGATCAAACTCGGGTGCTTGCACTTGCGCAGCAGGGAGCAAAACCACTGAGCTATATAAATCCCCGGCCCCGTGCTTTCTTTTTTTTTTTTGGTACCGGGGATCGAACTCAGGACCCTTGCACTTTCGAGGCAGGTGCCTGAACCACTGAGCTAAATCCCCAGCTCCTGTGCTTTCTTATCTGTTTCCCTCTGCCTGATAATGTGTTGCCCGGCTTACTCTGTCCTATGATGGATTTAAGACCCACACCCTGGGTCAACCCTGCAGTTGTCACCAAGTCATGTTATTACAGACAGCTAAGTTAGGGTGGCCAGAGAGGGACTGGGCCCCTGAGAGTCAGACACACACATCAAAATTGTGGCTGAAGGCAAATTAGAAAACAGACAGGCTTCAAGATGGAAATGCAATGGCCAGGCCTGCAGGCCTCTCTAGAGATTAACAGCTGCTTGAGATTACACTGTAATTAGCACCACTGGTCCAGTGGGGCAAGATAGGCATCAAATGCATAGGTGGGTGACCAGAACACCCTGACCAACATTCCCATCCCTTTCCAGGAATGCCTTTGTTCAATGTTAAAATTTACAGATAAGCTGAAGTCAGTGATACTTGCCATATACCCTTGCTACATGCCTTGCTTCCCTACTGGATCAATCTTACCTAAATAACTAAGACTTGTAATCTCACAGGTCAATTGTAGTTTGACCCAAAGCGACCCACAGTGTGATTTTGTTGTATAAAATATCCTATGACAAAGAGCTGCAGTGGCCACCTACTTTCAGGATTTCTCCTATCTCTCAGGAGCTTTCTGTCAATAAAGTTTTCCTCCTCTTAACCTCCTCTGTCCTCATATCTATTCTTCAATATCAGGAGCCACAAACTCAGCACATGTGACATCTAACAGTTGGAAGTTATTTCCCGGGTGACAATATGACTGCCTGAGTGTTTGACTTCCTTGAGTTGTAAGAGCTCAAAACTAGGAGTATGGATTATAGCATTCACTGTTGCTGCTCCAAGGGATCAACAGAGTCTAAAATATAGTAACAGTTCTATAAAATTTACAGAATAGGATGGGCATGGGGGCGCACGCTTGTAATCTCAGCACTCAGGAGGCTGAGGCAAGAGGATCGCTGCAAGTTCAAGGCCAGCCTGGGCTACATAGTGAGTTCAAGGAAGCCTGAACTATATAGCGAGACTCTGTCTCAAAAACAAACCAGGCTGGGGATTTAGCTCAGTGGCAATGTGCCTGCCTTGTAGGCCAAGGTCCTGAGTTTGATTCCCAGTACCAGAAAAAATTATGGAATAAATATTTGACCCATAATCCAATTATCCCTCCATTTAACTCCACAACCAATACCTAGAACTCAGAACTCCAATCAAGAAAACTGTAGGACAAACAGCCATCCTGATGCCACCTGTAGTTATTTATCCAATCAAATAAGCTCATAAAAGTTGCCTGTTGGAAAACTTTCTCCTAAAGACAGAGAAAAGTCCCACCCATAAACTGAGGGATGCTTTTGCCACAAACCACTCAGAATCCTGTCCTTTCAAAGTCTTCAGATACTCTTGGAAAAAAATATCCAACCGGCTGGCATCTCAACCTAGACAGTAAAAAAATGAACCCTCGGGCTGGGGATGTAGCTCAGTGGTACCGCTGCCTGCCTCACAAGCACAAGGTTCTGAGTTCGATCCCCCGTACCCCCCCCCACACAATGAACCCTCAAACATCTCTTGAAGGACTTCACAATGTTCTCATTCTCTTATTTAGAACCTTATTTCCTTCAAATAGGGGCAGAAGCCAACCACTACCTAGCAGTAAGACACCTGTAGCTTGAAGGAGCTTGGCTCAGGTTTCCACCACTCAATGAACAAGATGTTTTCTTACATTTTTAAGAAACATAAATGAGAGCTGGGCATGGTAGTGCATGCCTGTAACCCAAGCACTCAGGAGGCCGAAGCGGGAGGATCTGGGGGAGTTCAAGCCCAGCCTGGACTATATAGTGAGTTCAAGGCTAGCCCAACTACATAGTAAGACCCTGTCTCAAAACAAACAAACAACCCCCCCCACGAAAATCCATAAAACATAAACGAAAAATACACAAGAGGAGAAATAAGTAGATCATGATATTTGTATACCACACGTGTTTACATGTCTTTAAAACACATTTTCCACCTTACACCACAGGAAAAAGAACCTATTATACTCACTTCTGAATCTTCTGCACTTTCATAATCCGAGAGAACAGCTGAAAGAAAACAGAAATAGATGAAGAAAAAAAAAAAGCAGAAATAATTACACGTATATTTCTGACTGCTTACTGTAGATTAGGTCATGATAAAATTCTCATTTAAATCTGAAATCAACGTACGAGGTGGATATACTCTCCATTTACACATGGGGAAACTGGCCGAGAGTGTGTGTCGAGGCCAGGACCACCTTGCCAAAATCTATGCTCCTAACCACTATGTCACAAAAAGCCACCCCTTAGCATCCTCCCTCAGAAACAGTCTGAGAGATCATTCATCCCGGGAAACAAGTAATTGCGTTTATGTGCGAGACAACTCTCGTCGTGATGAAGACGGTACTTACCATCGCCTTCCATGCCATCTTCGCTCTCCTAAGGAGAAGACATGGGTTAGCTGTGATGGTCAGAAGCGGGGAGCCCAATAAAGAAATGCAAGTGGATAGCGAAACAACACAAGATGGTTGAACAGGGAGAAAAAAAGGTAAATCGTAACAAACTGCATCCGAGGGAGGCCTGGTTTCTTCGTCTCCCCCAATTCCTGAATAAACATCCGCTTTCCATCTACCACGGCTGTGCGTTCCTCCCAGAAAACACCGATGCAAACTCGCGGGGGACCCTAAGGACCCGGGGTCCGGTCCGGTCCCGCCCCGGCCCAGCCCCGCCCCGCCCCGCCCACTCACACACTCGGACTCCTCGGCGCTCTTGGCCCCCCCGCTCTCCATCCGCCGCAGATGAAGGGCCCCGGAGCGGCCGACGCGTTGCGAGGGCAGGGAGCCGCTGCCGCCGCCGCCACCGCTCCCGCTGCAGCTCCCGCCTCCCCGCGCCAAGGAGCCGCCGCTGTCGGAGCCCGAAGCGCCAGACTCCTCGTCCTCCGTGTCCTGCGAAGCGCGCTGCCGCCGCCGGTCCGCCATCTTACGGAGAACGGCCGCCGCCGGCCAGCTCCGACGCACCGCGCCTGTCGCAGAGGCTGCCGGGAGGCTGGGGTGCCAGTCCCGGCATGCCTCGCGCGTTGCGCAGGGTCGTCCCCCGCTATTGAGGGGCGGAGCTGTGCCCTGCGGCACGTTGTCGGGCCAGCGGGATGACGTCATTGGTGACGTCAGGGGTGACGCCACTTCTGGCTTCTCGGGGGAAGGCGTCGGGCCGAGGAAGCCGGACTCCCGCAACCTCCTTGGGTCCCTGGCCCGGCCATCTTGGTCTTTCCTGGCGGCGGGTCATGTCCCAGCGCCACTGTAACACTGGGGCTGTTTCCACCTACGTTTGAGGCAAAGCATTTTATGCATTCATTTGCTTAATAAAGTCATAAATCAAGGTAAACCTGTGAAACCGTGGTGTTGCGTCAGATTTGCCACACCAGCGAAGGAGTGAAGGAGAAAGCAGTTGTCCGCAGTGGAGCCAAGAGGACCTGGTGTTGCAGTGTGTCGCGTTAATTCCTCTCCCCTCTTCGCGTCTTCCGACCCCAGCCGTCCCCTCTCCCAGAGTTCAGGGTAATGTGGTGCTACTCTTACCAAGATCTAAGAACCGCTTTGAAGAGATGATCAGTAGAAACCGGTGTTGGGTTCAAAATATTGACGTGGTATCTTTTTTAAGTGCTATCAGACATAAATGCTTTGATTGTGGCAAGGGATTTGCCAGCAATAAGAAAAATTGTACTCTCGAGCCGGTTATTTAGCTCAGTGGTTCCGGCGCTTGCCTTACAAGCACAAGGTCTTGAGTTCGATCCCCGGTACCAAAAAAAAGGACATACAAGATGGGATGCTAATATTTTTATAAAGGACATGGTTAAGGATCCTGATGTTTATCGGGATGTTTATGGACAACTTAGAAGGAATTATGAATGCCTTCAGAGACTGAATCAGGATTCAAACAATCTCAGCTGGTTAGACAGATGGCTGAATTTGTAAGTCCAGCTCTAAAAACCAACTGAGCTCAAAATGGAAGATGTATGATTTATTAAGTGTTGAAAACAACCTCGAGAGTCCTATGGATCACAAGCTAAATCGGGGCCAATACAGCTGCCAAGCTTTAGTCTAAATAAAGGGATAGTCAGCCACACTGTCCTTCAGTTGTTTTGTCCGAGTCCAGGTTCTGAATGGACATGGATAAACTGTTCTATCAGCCAGAGGGAACTGAAAATTCAGAATCCTTCTGAGGAACAAGTGTAAGATTTCTAGATGAAGAGGCCTTGGAGACTACCACAGCCATCTTAACTGTAAGGACTCTGAGCAAAAGAGGGGCTTTTTTTCATCACCCTGGAAGGCAAAAGCAAGAACAAATGGGTTCAAATCACAGGAAGTTAGATTTGGTGAATGGAGAATTTTCAAACATTTACCAAAAAAAAAATGTATGGCAAGAGACATTGGATTGAAGCAGAAGCTAGACTTCATTTGTCTGGACATATTGGCCAGGAGAAATCATGAACTGGGGTCAGACTAGATGACTGAAGAAGTCTTTCTAACTATGAGATTTTGTCAACTTAAGACACCAGGCATCATGGGCTGGGGATTTAGCTCAGTGGCGTCACCACCTGCCTCGAGAAAGTGCAAGGTACTGAGTTCCATCCCCCGTACTGCAAAAAAAAAAAAAAAAAAAAAAAAAGACACCAGGCATCAAATATCCTCCAGGGCTTGGGATTTACCTCAGTGGTTCCGCCGCCTGCCTCAAAAGCACAAGGTCCCAAGTTCGATCCCCAGTACCAAAAAAACCCCCCAGAATATTCCCCAATCTCATGTTCAAAGTGGCCAATTGTTTGAGGAAATGCTCTGGATAGAGAGGGATGGAACATATATGGTACTCGGACACAAATGGGTACCCTGCAAAGGGGAAATAATGTGTTTGGTTGCTGAAACGGATTTCTTCCAATCTTTCAATTGTTTAGGCAGAATTATTTAATGTTTCCCAACAAATTAATAAATTGAAACAGAAGTTCAAAAATTAACAGCCACAATAGTTTATTTACAATTGAACTCTTTATAAGATATTTACAAGACAACCAATTTTACACATCAGAAATGGTATCAAAAGTATGAATTACAACACAAAGACAACAATATGAAATGGGCATAAAACAAAGCTGAAGTGGACAGACAAGCAATTTCTCTTTAATACTAGCTTAAACTCTGTTAAAGAAAGAAACAAAGAACTATGTTTTAGGAGAACTGCAGGGCCTTCAGTTGAAGATTGAATTTCACAGTGTTGTATCCCATGTAGGGAAAAATAAGACTAATTTTCCCCCCACGCTCTAACACACTGTAATTTCACTCTTGGAACTTCGCTCCAACCTCCTTCTCAACAAACCGCAACATACCCAAATCAAAGGAGAACTGATCTAGAAGAGGGACAACAACATAAGAGGTCCTCGGGGAAAGGAGAACCAAGGAAAAAGAATCCACTTAAATCTGGCCAGATAGCACCTCATGGATTCCTCTCAGTCTAAATTAAGTTCAGTGTCTGAAGAGTCCCTTGTGTAGGACAAAAACATGAAGGTTAAATTTGCCAACCATACTCCAAATGAGGAACTTGACAATGGCTGAAATCAAGAAGAAAATGAGCAAGATCAAAGAGAGACTCTGATTGGGGTTTTTTCTGTCTTGGGCACATTATAAAGGAACATAACGTAGGTCAGCGTAGGAACATGAAACAGCCTGCCACGTTAAAGAACAAAGAAAACTTGGCCCAGTTTCTCTAGAAATCTTGTCTTTAAGGTGTGAGACGAGAGCCCCTAGTGGAGTAAGTCCTATTTCTCTCTGGATCCTTGCTGCAATTAAGTTGACAGCAGGTTACTTTCCAGAGAGCCCCTCTCCTAAGCAGATGGAGTTACGAATGAAAATTCACAGCCGCGCGCGCACGCGCGCGCACACACACACACACATACACATATAGAGAAAGAAGAGCAGCAAGATCATCCAAGAATACTACACGTGCTGCCGCAGTAATTCCTTTCCAAGTCAAACCCAGGGAGCACAGATCAACATCTCACAAAAAGCTTTAGCAGTGGGAGGCCCCTGAGGAACTTTTCTTGTCTTCCCACAATGGTACCCATTCTCTCATGCTCCGCCAATGGGCCGGCCACACGCCCTACATACCTTGGCTTCTCCTCTAAAAGTGCTAATAATCTGGGGACATCTTCTCTTCAAGGGTAAACCCCACCTTCTAGGAGATTAGACCCCTACTTGTTTGCACGCAGTAGTCCTGAAGACTAATGAAGGCAATTCCTATATAGTGAAGACCAGAGGTCTTGGCTCTATTTTCCTTCCAGATAGTTAACCGGGATGGTACACTGAGACCAGAGTGGCCTGGGAGTGCTGTCCTGAAATTTGTTTAACAAAACAGGGGCAAGGGAACGGACCAAGATGATACACATACAACTCTACTTTTACAAAGTAATGGAGAAGCGCATCAGATACAGCTGTATGTTTCAAAATGTAGACATTTGCCAGCCAAAGGCAGCACTTATTTCTTTACCCTCCACCCGCTCTGCCCAAACCACTACCCTACCATCAAGAGCTCAGCTACGAGATAAACCCCACCTCAGGAATACACGACAAGTGACTGATGAGCACATCTGTACAGCCTGGCACGCCGTCCCCGATGACAACTGCTTCTGTTTAAGGCTGCAGGCTCTCCCAAACTAACTTCCCCATTTTCTTTTCCAGAGATTTTATTTTCTGAGGAGTTGGGGGAAGAACATCAGTTACCTATTAACTAAGAAAACAATCAACACCCTTCCCAGAGTGGCTGTGTTGCAGAGTAGTTTTAAGAGAATGGCTCTTTTTCGGGTATTTGTTTACCGAACCTCTGATCCCTTCCCTACCCCGAGAAGGTGACACGTTCATCACTTCACTTGTTACTCTTCATCTGCTCCTAATGCTCATGGTGAGACTCTATTTTATTTTAGGGTATAAACGACCACACCCTAACTACAGGGAGGGTACGAGGGTGAGGAGAGTGCCAGTGGGCACAGCTCCTGAAGCAGGTTGGCTTGTCTTCCAGGTGTCTCAGGGAGCCCTTGCACCCCTTTAATACAGGCAAATATATAGAAGTACGCCCTGAAACCTCCAAATCTGTCATCCTAGATTTAGCTTGAGAGCTCACTTCCCTGAAAAGGGAAAAGAAATCCCAATCTCCCTCCATAATTCACAATTAGTCCAATAAAAGAGTTTTTGTGAAATCAGAGTGATGAAAACAAAACAAATCAAGGAGTACGGGAAGGTCCTGTCAGCAAATGGTAACATACGGGAAGACACAGGTCACACAGACAGGTCTCCACCACTCTCTGGGAATGGCGCACTACAACTATCTGAAGACAGAGGGTTCTTGCAGCACAGCTATTTCCTACACATCCGGTGAGGGGTATGCTTCTTCTGGATCTCCAACCTGCATCGGCTACGCTCATCCAACCAGGGCAGCTCAAAATTCCTGGCAAAAAAGGATGAGGAAATCAACTTGCATGACTAGAAGAGATTTGCTATGTATACAGTAGTAGCTCCAAGAAAACATGTCCCTCAGGGCTTCTGGCCCTGACTCCTGCATTTCAACTCTGGGGTATCCTTCCTACCTCAAACCCACAGCAATGTCAGTGTAAAACTGAGGTGATGGAATAATCTCAACTCAAAAGCATTGTAATCTTGGGCTTAAGCATCTCATCACTGTAAAAGCTCTTGCCTGTGTACTTTCACTTTTATCAAAGAATCATGGCAAACTTGGCATGGTAGCACACGGTTGTAATCCCAGCTACTTTGGGAGGCTGAGGCAAGAATTCCCAGTCAGCCTAGGCAACTTTACCAAAACTCTGCCTCAAAAAATAAAAATGATTGGGGGCCATGCAAGGTGGTGCAAATCTGTAATCCCAGCCCTCAGGAGGCTGAGGCAGCTGTGAGTTCAAGGCCAGCCTGAACTACATAGCGAGACCCTGTCTCAAAAACAAAAAAGAAAGAAGAAAAGAAAATGTAGCTCAGTCATACAGCACCTCCGGGTTCAGTCCCCCATACCAAACAAACAATCGTGACTATCCTTAAACCACCTGGTTCTACCTTAAATGACATGCAGGTTGCCTGAGAGGGGAGGGAAGAAACTTTCTCTTTTATACTTACTGTGGAGTTAATTTTGGTAATGGTCGTCCAAATGCTACAACAGGCAAGAAGGGGGTAATCATCAAACTTTCAACTGTGGAGAAAGTCAAATAGGACCTTGTTAGTGCCACAGATGAGATATGTCTAGCAAATACATCAGCTTCAAAGTATAATCCCCCCATTCACAAGAAGTAGCACCCAGGAGCCTTGCAACCTTTTCTCTTCTTTGAAAAACCTGCCTTTTTAGGGGCCAGGGATTTAGCTCAGTCGTTCCACCACCTGCCTCGCAAGCACAAGAACCCAAGTTTGATCCCCAGTACCAAAACAAAACAAAACAAAATCTGCCTTTTTAAATAGCAAAACTTACCATCATCTGGCTCAGGGAAAAATGAGGTAACCTCAGGCTCAGATTCCTGAATTCCTTTCTTTTTATACATTCTGAGCTGCAGTCGCTGTAAAATTCTTTGTTCCCTGATCCTCTGAATATCCCACCTGGGAAAAACCAAACAAACATAATGTTATTGCTTAGCCAACATCTGCTCTATAAAAGCAAGCCCCACAAACGCAGAACCTAGGAGGATCCTTGAAGACAGCTCTAAGTGGGGTCAAGAGACCAGACTGCCTGGTGAGGTCTAGCAGTCCAGGTCACAGGGTGGTGTCCCACAGAGGGAAGTGAGGAACAGCACACAAGAAGAAAGAGCAGCCAAATGTGTTTACCTACAACTACCACTTCCAACGAAGACACTTAACCAAATGGGACAACAGTAACAGAAGTGCCAGAGGCCCAGGACCCTCCACAACCTGAGAGGGAGGCTGGGGTCCAGGGCTCAGTTCCCAGCATGGACACCTCTGGCCTTACCTTTTCCTTCTCTTCTCATCCAGCTCCAGTTTTGCATGCCGCTTTGAGAACACACTGTCATCCAGGTTCTGTGTGAGGAACAGGAGGGAGAAGCTGTTCGCCACCATGTTACATGCACATACTAACCTCCAGCTTCTGGGAACGTAGTCTTTCACTTCCAGGTTCTGCCTGAGTCTGTCAGCTCTATGGGAATCCTGTGAACCTCCACATAACAATCAATGCGACACACGCTCCTTCTCACATACTGACCGTTTGAGGACCTCAAATTTCAAAATCATTCCTGTAACTTTCCAAGGTAATGTCACAACCAACTGAAACAACCCTGAGATTAGAAGCCTTTCCCACCTCCCCAGTTTATAAAGGTCTAAATGCAAACTATCAAATTTTAAACCCAGCCACGGTGGTACACGACTGTAAGCCCAGTTACTCAGGAACTTAGGAGGCTAAGACAGGATGTTCACAAGTTCAAGGCCAGTCTGGGCTAGTCTTAGCCAGACCCTGTCTCAAAATAAAAAATAATGCCGCACGCCTGGTGGCACTTGCCTATAATTCCAGTACTGAGAGGCAGAGGTAGGAGAATTGATGCAAGTTTGAGGCCAGCCTGGACTGCACTGCATAGTGAGACTCACTATGCAGTCTCCAAAAAAAAAAATAATAATAATAATAAGGGCTGGGCGGGGGTGTAGCTTAGTAGTAGAGCACCCCTGGTTTGATCTCTAGTTCTGGGAAGAAAAAAAAAGTCAAAATTTTAAAGTCGATGCTGGGCATGGTGGTACACACCTATAATCCCAGCACTCAGGAGGCTGAGGCAGGAGGATAGCTGGAAGTTCAAGGCCAGCTGGGCTACACAGTGAGTTCAGGGCCAGCCTGAACTACAAAGGGAGACCCTGCTTCAAAAAAAAAAAAAAAAAATTCAGGCTGGGGATTTAGCTCAGTGGTTTCGCTGCCTGCTGCAAGCGCAAGGACTGAGTTCAATCCCCGGTACCAAACCAAAACAAAACAAACAAACAAACAAAAAAGTTCAATTTATTCACCAGATCTGGTGCTGGATGGCTTCTGGTTTTTCCCCAAAGTAAAAATGACCAGGAAAAGTAAATGTTTTGAATCTATATAGGATACTGAGGCAGCCATGACAGCCCAACTAAAGACATTCATAAAAGAGGACTTCGAGGACTGCTGCAGAAAGTGGCAAGAACAATGGCTGTATTTGAAGGGAGGGAATATTTTGTTGTTGTTGTTGTTGTTTTTGTTTTGGTACCGGGGATCAAACTCTAGACCTTCGGGTTGGAGGCAGGCGACAGGCGACGGAACCACTGAGCTAAATCCCCAGCCCGGGAGGGAATATTTTGAGGGAGATTAATGGCAGTGTGCCTTTTACTGTAATAAATTTTTAGTTTAGTTTTTCTTTTTTTTTTTTGAGACAGGGTCTCATTATGTACTTCTAGCTGGCCTTGAACTCACTATGTAGCTCAGGCTGGCCTTGAACTCATAGCAATCCTCCTGCCTCAACCCGAGTGCTAGGATTAGTAGTGTGGGCCACTACACCTGGCTTCACCATTATTTATTTATTTGGGGGGGGGGCATCGGGGATCGAACTCGGAACCTTGCACTTGCGAAGCAGGCGGTGGAACCACTGAGCTAAATCCCCGGCCCTTCACCATTATTTTTAATACCATCTTGGATTAAATGAAGAAAACAGAATAAACCCTCAAATTCCTTCCCAGCCTTTAAGTGCTATTTAGTTCATCCATCCATACATACCACTATGACATATTCAAGATACACCTCACTTTTTTGAGACAGGATCTCCCTATACTGCCCCGGTTGGCCGTAAACTCCTAGACTCAAGCAATCCTGCTGCCTCAGCCTTCTGAGTAGCTGGGATTGTAAGGGTGAGCCACACGCCAGGTTTAGACACCCCCATGTTCTGTTCAACTTCTTCCTTCCGTTGACCGCTCTTAGGTTCTTACCTCCAAAAGGTCTGAAGGATTTGGGTCCCTTAGAGGTTCTACTGAGTGGTCCCTCCAAGAAGGAACTGAAAGAAAAAAAGAAAGAGAGAGAGAGAGGAGGGGTGGAACCACCCTTAAATCCAAAATCACACGAACCTCAAACTACTCCCTAGGACAAGAGGTCTCTCCCAAATAAGACAAAGTTACCCAGTGATAGGAATCCATTCTATGGCCTCGTCCGAAGCCGTATTCAGTGTCCTTGCTATGGTACAAAAGAACCTAAAGTGCACTGTAGTCTGCCCAACTCAGGATCACAAAACACCCTAAGCCAATACCTGACAATTCATATAACGGATGCTATTGCAGTGCCTGAAAAACAACTGAAATTGTCATCATTGGGTCTATGGGAGTGGAGTTGATCCAGTGCCACCGAATCTCTCTCTCGCATCCAGCAGATGGAGACCGTGGCTCCCAACCGTCCACCACCCCACCCGCCCCGCCCCAGGCCCAGGCCCAGCCAGCACAAGTCCTATTCTACTCACCAGCCAAGACTGAAGTTTCTCCTGCAACACTTGATGGCATCAGACACCCTAAATAATGCAGGAAAGAAGAATCATCTCAGTGTAAAAAGAAAAAAAGCCCATACCCAAAGTGGAGGAAAGGATCATCACTGAAGTTCTCAGTAGGAAGCCATTTTGGTTTTTGAGTTGTTCTTTTGAGAATTTCTCTCTGGGGGAGGGGAAGAGGGAACAACAGACAAAAGAAAAGAAAATAAGCCCACCACTTTTTTTTTACACTGAGACGACTTCTTTTCTTCATTATTTAGGGTGGTTTCCCTGCAACAGTTGATGGCCAAGGATATCAAACCTTAAACTCAGAACATGGCAGGTGAGTAAAAGTTGACCCTATTTTTCAAATAAAAGATCAGTGTTCTCAAAACTTACGTAAGTAGTCTTAGGCAGCCCCCTCCTCCCTCCAAACAAACTACACCTTGCTGGTCCGGCCTGAACAACATGCACAAAGACTGTGGCTTCCTTAGAACAAGCCATTGACTTCCTCTTGTGACAGGGACATCAAGAATAAGGTTCCCACATGGAGATGGATAACAGACTCCACAAGGGTTAGGACCGCCCGGGTCACGCGCCTTCTCAGAGTGTCTGCAATTGCTGCATTAGGGCACACGGGTTTTCAAAAAGAGCCACACAGAACAGCTCCGGACCCAATCACTTCCCCATTCCAGATGGGAAGTTGCTTCACGGTTTCTCTTAAGTTGTTACACAGCCATTGCCATGGCAGCAAAAAGGTTAACCCTTAAAAATGAACCTGTCCAACTGACTGATCCAACAAAAAAATCGGCATCTAAATCAGGATCCTGCACTACTCATGGACTCTATTGAATGTGAGGCCTCATGGATGTTAGATAATTCATCTACCTTCCCCACTGAATTTTGTCACCAGCACAACCAAACAAAGCCTGGAGAACGCGCTCATCTCAGTGGAATGGATTCTCATCCCCATCCCTGCTAGGGCAAGGCACTCAGGGCCCAGGCTCTATCCAAGAAGGCTTCCCATCACCGCCCCGGAGCACCCAGTGACTGTCACAGACTGACAGGACACCACTGAAGACACAGTCCAGTTACTGGCTGATGTAGGAGAAAGGGAGATCGCTGTGTGGAAGCCATGAAGAAAAATAAACAAAAAACGGGGAATGATCTGCGCAAGCCCAAGGACCCGAGTTCGATCCCCGTTATCAAAAAAAAAAAAAGGGGGAATGAAGACCAACGTCCCACGGCCCGCGCCCTCCCCAAGCAGCTCAGATATCCCAAGATAGTCCTTATTGTTTGAAAAATAGTTTGTAGACCATTTTATTTAAATATATGAACAATGAATGGGCTACTGCAATCCAAGTAAACTCTTCACATGTTAGAACCTTTGTGAAGCTGAGTAGGTTAAAGAAAGACTGCTGGTCTTTGGCAGATTCCTCCTGCCCCCAGACTGGGACATAGAGATACAGGTGAATGTTTATATAGTGGAAGAGCAGAGGCCCCGGTGAAACACCCCACCCCAAGCTGGCTCCCCAACCAAAACTGACCAGCGGCCCCTGAGAGCCCCAAAGACCACCCTCCCAGGTTTCACACAGTATTGATTGCAGGAACAGTCGTGCATGGCCAAGTGTAAGTTGTATGCATTTCCCAGCACGGAAAACCCTTCTTTCAGAGGGCATGCAAGTTGCCGGAGAACACACCCCCGAGTCTGGTGCTCTTGTGATGAGCAACTTACTGGCCAAAACATCTCCCAGGTTGTAAGCAGGCAAATACAATGAGCACACTCTGCTGTGATTCCATCTATTTGCAATGCCTGCACAGTGTCTGTCTCTGGCTGTTAACTTACTCATTCTTGACAGAACTCTGCTTTATTGATTGCACTTTTTAAAGAATGCCAAAGGCATTTTCACACTTGTTAGCTTGACCGCCACCACTAGGGTATAAGAGCAAGTGTTCTCTATGCCTTACTTGCTACAGTCTCCTCCTTCTTTGGAGAGGATTCCCGTAATGGTAACGGTGATGGGGGAGGCTGGTGCCAACGACACAAATACATTTCTGTGGTGGAAAGGTACGGCAGATCTGCGGTCTCGCTGGAGAAGGCTTTCTCCTTGGGATGGGTGCCGGGTCCCTTCTGGGGAGTGGAGAGTCTCGGAGGGGTGTCCACTGAAGACCGGGGCTTCTCTGGGGTTTCCTGGCTCCTCAATTCACGTTTACAAACAGTTTCGGACAAGGAACCACAGGGCTCCTCTTTAATGGGAGAGTGCTTAGGAGTTTTTGTTTTGACTTTTGAAAACTCAGGAGCCAGCTTTTTAACAGGAGTCTTTCTTTCTGTACTTCCAAATGGGGTTTTCCTATTAGATGGGAAGAAAACGTTACAAAATTGACTTGTGAATAAAATCTGAGTATATTTTGGGGCAAGATAACCAGTTTATTCTCTTGCCCCCAAATGACCAGTATCCAAGGCACCTAATTATCTGATGCTCATTGGAAGCCAGGAGCAGAAACAGCCTCATGCTTAGCAGCGTACAGAACAGGCCCTTAGTAAACTTTGGTACAGGGGATCAAAACCAGAGTCTTGCCACCGAGCTACAACCCTGACCTTTTTTTAAAAAAACTTAATGAGGCAGGGTCTTCCTAAGTTGCCTGGGCTTGACTTGAACTTTCAATCCTCCTGCCTCAGCCTTCCAGAGTGCTGAGATGACAGGCATGCACCACCACACCCAGGAGTAAACGACTGTTCAACAGTAAGCCTCAGCGCGCAATACTCTCTAATAGTATCCTGTTACCAACTAGATTAAGAAATGCTCCTAATATATTCAAAGTCCTTTAGCTAACATTAGATACCACTCCTCTGTGACACCTACTTTGTCCCTGTCAATCAGAAAGCAGGCCCTCACCCCCCCAATCCTATACCATATTAATTACAGTCCCTACTTCTCTCTTGCTGCCCACTGGCTCGCTCTTCTCTTTACCAACCTCAATTCTATACTGCAAGACCACCTTCAAGTTTCAGGGTTCCAACTCAGAATAGTCTTTAATATTGTAGAATCTTTAAAAACACGGTTTTTGGGCCAGGGATTTAGCTCAGTGGTTTCGCCACCTGCTTCGCAAGTGCAAGGACCCGAGTTCGATCCCCAGTATCAAAAAAACAAAAAAAACAAAGAAACCCCACAGTTTTTATCAGTGTTCTATGTCTGCACATTTTATTGCATTGAATTCTGAGTTTTCAAAGATTTTGCTTATCCTTACAGTCTAATTTCTTTGCATCTAAGAACAGTTGTATGTTCATTTCTTTTTTTTTTTTTGGAACCGGGGATCAAACTCGGGACCTTGCACTTTCAAGGCAGGCGGCAGAACCACTGGGCTAAATCCCCCGGCCCATATGTTCATTTCTTATGTCTCCCAGGCCCTAACTTGAACAACTCTAGATTTAAGAAAACAACAGCGTCGAGTTTGTTGCCCATTCTTTCTGGTGTACTCTGCACTCTGTAATTAATATGGGACTGGAGGATCCTACAGGCTTTTCATAGGCTGCAAGGATGTTTCAAGACAGTTTCTCAGCTCAGAAGACTGCGTAATTCACGCTGTGGTTGCTGTAAAACCAATCCATAAATCCCAATCCCCTACCCCTGGTCTGTGGTAACAAGTGTCCTCCTCATGTCCAAACAGCACAACCGCGTTATCGGCACACCTTTTGTGTCCCTTTCCACTCCGCCCACATGAGAAAGGCTTGGGAGCCAGAGGCTGGGATGTCTCGGAAAGCTCTGGCTGGCACTCCAGTTTAATTTTCTCAGAGAGTTCTGTTTCCTCTCTCTCTTCAGTTTCATAGCCCTGAAACAGCTTGTGCCTTTCTTTCTCGTTATCCTTCTTTACCAGCTGCATCCGTCTTTCCATACGTTCAATCCGAGCAAGGAGCTAAAAGAGAGTGGCAAAATGCAGACTTAACACAAAAAAATTTAAACACAGCTACATAGCCCCTTCAGGAACAGCACCATCTCCTGCATCTTTCTGTGGACCCTATCAAGTCAGTTCTTTCTTCCCCACGCTGGGCAAGCACTACACATCACTGTACAACCCCGGCACCATTCACCTTATTTTTCATCATCAGACATTAATCTGAATGGTGTTCCTTAAACACAATAGGGAAGACAGTGTACAGAGTTTAATTGTGGGGCTAACTAAGACGGGATGAGGCTCGGGGGAATTCGTACTCGTTCTTCTGAAAGAAGATCCTCTCTGCTGACAGGGGCCAGGCTGGGCCTTATAACGCTGTGGTCTCCTCTCTGCTGCTCTTCACGGGCCTCACAGTCATTGGGAATTTCCAGAATTAACCTTATATAAGTTCTCCACTTTTCTCTTTATTTTTTTGGTGATGCTGGGGATAGAACTCGGGCCTCCAATATGCTAGGCGAGCCCTCTGTGCTACACCACCAGCCCTATCTTCTCCTCACAGGTCCTAAGACTAAATCCTGCCCTCTACTTCCACCCCAGGCTCTGTAAACAAAAGCAACGTCCAAACAAACTTTGAGAGGGAATTAGGAGCTCATTCAGAGTCACTAGGATGGCAGTTGTGCTTCAAAGTGGTATTTGGGGGGGGGGGGGGTTCTAAAACAATGAATGCTCCCTGTCGAAGAATTAGACTAGAAACCAGCAATATACATCCAGCCCACCAAACACGACATACACATACTGCTTTGCATTTGAAACACAGAGAAAAAATATATAGCTAATTTAAGTATTTCTCAAAACCAAATCCTTTTAATTCTAATTAAAAAGGACTCAAATAAAATGGAAGTCCATTACCATCAAAAACTTTACATTAACTCAGTTTTGAGAAAAGGTGCCAGTTGTGCTACTTACACCCTACTACAAGGGTTCTGTCTTCGTGAAGACAGAGACATTAACGCTGCCTTCCTTACATCCATTGCATAGATTTCAGTAGAGGTCATCATACCACCACTGGAATAAAACAAGCTTCAGCAACGCTCAGACTGCAATACATAACAGAGGCCGTGACTGCCAAGTTCAAACTGGACACTATCCTTACCTCACCCCACTTTCCCTACTCAGGAAAGCCTGCAAAGGGGCCATTACCTCGGGACTCAGCAGCACCTCCACCGTCAGCTAGGAGCAACCCTTGTCAACCTGGCTCCCATCCCATCTCCTCCTATCTGTTTTGATTCGAAGCCTTAGCATTACTTAACCACAGGCTGTGGGTGACATTTCCTGGCTTCCTTCTCCCTCACTGGCCCTCCTCTTCCCACCCCCTCCCCGTGTTCAAAGATGATGTGTTGCAATTACAGTACCATCGCACCCCTAGACTGCAGTACAGTGGCTGAGCAGTGCCACCTGCATGTTGAGTAACTTCCACAAATCAACACTGTGGGGCATTTTAATGAGAGCTGCCCCCTCCAGCTCCACCTTGCAAAACGCATTCTCCAATAAGACAGCTGCCTGATGCGATTCATTTGGAAGGCAAACAAAATGAATAGCCCTCTGCTCCCTGGCTCAGCCCTGGGCTCACACAACACGGCGGGGGGGGGGGGGGGGGGGGGGTTGTAGCTCAGGGAAAAGACAGAGACAGACACAGACAGACAGACAGAGACAGAGGAGACAGAGCGAGATGCTGCGGCCAGAACACAGCAACTGTAAAAACCATGTTTATTTTCAGGAGCTGAAAGGCAGCTAGCACAGGAACCCCCACCACTCAGCTTCCCAAGGGAGTCCAGCTATAGCAGAGGTGCCCTTAACTTCTGCTGCAGTACGAAAAAGCCAGGAAGTCATGTTTCTCAGAGTACAAAGAAATCATAACATTGCCCTACTACCCTGAGATTCTAAAGCAGGGATGGGCGCTACTTGCGTGTATGGAAAAAGCTTGTTTCCCCTGATGCCTGAAAATCTTCTAGTTTCAAACACCTCGCTTATACAAGGGACCTAGCCGAGGAGTCATATTTAGAACTCAGATCCCTATTACAAACTCGGAAATCAAAAGCGCTAAGCCTGTAACAACATCATGAAAGAGAAAACAGGACTCCACAGAAATCATCTTTCCCCTCTGACCCCTCCGAGGACTAGGGCGACCCTCTCCCTGTCTAGAGATGCTGCAGAGGGGTGGCTACAGCAACAGCTGCCCGTCCCTCCCCTCCCGATGCACTTCCAACGGCAGAGTGCTTTAACTTAACCCCTTCCACGCGGCCCACACAACAGCACACTACCCTTGCCTTTCCGACACCTCACAAATCAGCTCCATCCCCAACTCTAAACGTCTTTCCCACAACTCTGGGGCTGTCAGTTTAAATTAACCCTTTGGGCGCCCGAACCCCCCCCCCTTTAACCCATCCCTCAGATCCAGCGAATGTGTGACCCGGCTGCCGAAGGCCCAGGACCGCGGACCCAGCTCCTGCGCTGGTGGCCGCCCCGAGCCCTAACCGCGGGGACCCCGGCCTCCCCGGTGCCCCCTCCCCGAGCATGCGCCCTGCGCCGGCGGCCCGCAAGCCGCTTAACCCCTCCCGTACCGTGTCCCGCTCTGACTTGAGCTCCTCGATCTCCTTCTCCTTGGCCTGCAGCTGCTGCTGCTGCTGCTCGATGAGGTCCAACTGCAGCAGCAGGATCTGCTTGAGGCAGGCGGCCTGGCTGGAGGCCCCCGAGCCGCCGCCGCCCCCGAGAGGGCTCTTCCGCACCCCCTTCCATCGGGCCTCGCCGGCCGCCAGGGTCCCGGCCGCGGCGCTGGGCGCGAGGGGCGGCGGCCCGGGCAGCGGCAGCGGAGGTGGCCCCGCCGGGTCCGACGCGGTGGCCGCCGGCGGGGCCGCCCCGCCCTTGTCCCCGGCCCAGGGCGTCGGCTCCTTGGCGGCGGCCACGAGCGAGCCGGTCTGCAGTGGCAGCACCGCCTGGTACTTGGGCCGGGGGCTGCAGCCCGCGCCCGCCGCGGCCGGCTCCCCGCCAACGCCGGCCTGCTTGGTGGCGGGCGGCGGGCAGGGGAGCGGCGCTGAGCCGCCCCAGCTCTCCTCGGGCTGCCCGGGCG